TAAAACACAGAAATAAATAAATTGGGGACAGTGTTTTTAAAAATGGGCCAGGGGTGTCGCTCAATAGTAGCCCTTTTTGCCTGAAGGTGCAGGGTCCTGAATCCCATCCCTGGTACTGCAAAAAACAAGCAAACCAACAAATAAACAAAAACAAAAAACCCTACTACATCCAACATCCAATCAACTGAGAATATAAAACAAAGCAATACTCTTGACTATTATTATTATTATTATTATTATTATTATTATTATTATTATCTCATTTAAAAGGGGACCTGTCCCACTATGCTGCCTAGGCTGGCTTCAGACCTCTGGTCACAAGCCACCCTCCTAACTCAGCTTCCTGAGTATCTGGAGCTACAGTAGAGAGCCTTGCTTTGAAGACAGATGCATCTTAAACAGTGCTGATCACCTGGCCTGCGACACTATGGTCTTAGTTGGGAATGAGGGTCAGACTACAATCACTCACAGCTGCTTATATAACCATTTCTCTAGCCTTTGATAAAACGATGTTCATAAAGAGATGGGGAGATGTGATTTATAGCTCTTGTCTTTGTCTCTCACAACTATATCGAGTGTTCCACCATGTGTGAGTGGGTATGTGTGAATGCAAACACGCTCATATTCACAGGTTTAAAAAAAAAGAAAATCCACCCTCCAGCGTAGCCTTGTGTTTAAGTGCCTGAGTGCCTCACAATGGTCTCAGTGGCCGGCAGCCACCGCTGCCTGGTCCTGCGCAGACCTGGCCTGTTCAATTGCTGCAGTTCAAATCCTCCGGAAGACCAAGATAATCTCTATTTGATGTCTTAATTATACAACCACTTATCCGGTTGGCAACTTAAAAAAAAAACAAAAGTTTAAAAGGTAGAATATTTAACCACAGTGTACCTTAGAACAAGATCCAAAGCAGAAAAAAACAAAAACCTTAAGCAGTCTTGCGAATAAAGCAGAAAATATTCGTAATTCTTCTTTCTTTCTTTTTTTCTTTCTTTTTTTTTTTTTTCTCAGATAGGGTTTTTCTGTGTAGCCCTGGCTGTCTTGGAACTCCCTCTGTAGACCAGGCTGGTCTCAAACTCAGATTTCCACCTGCCTCTGCCTAGGATTAAAGGCGTGTGCCACCACTACCCAGTGGTAGCACTTCTTGAAATGAATAGCCTACCCTCATGGCGAACTACACAAGAAATCAAAATGGCAAAAATCATTGCTTTGCTAGTTCCATTGCCAAGCACCTGCAACATTAAAACAGAATAAAGCCCAGGTCTGTTTTGATAAAGGCCAGGCTTTCCCAACAGAGGCTAGAAGGGATATAAAAAGCTTTCCAGATGAAGGAGAAGAAAATTTGGGGACCACTAAAAATGTCACTTGCAAATAATTAATGTCCAGAAGTGTCACACTTATCTTTGGAGCTAAGAACTACTTAGCTCATGGCTTATCAGTAACTTCTCTAAGCTCAATTCACAGGTTTTACACATGTGCTTCTGTGTGTAAAAAGCTAGCAAGCTCACTAGCTGGAGAGACGCAGCTCCCTGCCCCGTTGACTGACAGCACTCCTTCATGTCTTGTCACCAGCTCACGTATTTCCTCAAGCTGGCCCAGGGATGTGGAGAGCTGGGCTATCTCAGCCCAGCTACCCATGTCCACCCCGACCTCATCTGCCAAGTATGACTTTGGTTCCTTTTCTTTTTTTCAATTCTCCATTGTCAAAGGTGGCTTGTCTGTCATTTCTTTACAAAATCCTCCTCCTTTTCACCATTTAAATGGGTTCTCAAGCCATTGTTCACATTCTTTTGCTTCATTTTAATTGTGCTATCTGGAATAATCTATTAGCTCCTACAGGAGGCCACTGTGTAATGTTTGGATGTTTTCATTACATATGTCATGCTGTTTGGATGTTATCCTCAACTTTAAAAAAAAAAACAAAAAACGTGACTCATTAAAAAAAAGTTTGATTTAATTATTTATTTGTGGGTACGTGTCTGTGTATGCAGGTAACTGTGGAGGCTAGAAGAGGGTGCTGGATTCCCTAGAGCTGGAGCAGCAGGTGGCTGGAGACTGCCTAACATGAGTGCTGGAAACTAAACTTCAGTCTTCTGAAGAGCAGTAAGCACTATTAACCACTGAGCCATCTCTCCAGCCCCGAACACAATCGTTTTCAATAGCTTATTCTACTTCAGGAAAAAAAAAAATTGGCAGGCTGCTTATACACATCTATACAGTAAGATAAATCCTGAAGCCAGAGAACTGCACAAAGGAGGAACTAACCAGGGATAGTAAGATGAAGCTAAGAGAGAGGACAGGACCTAAAGCTGGTGTTGTCAGTCCAGGAAGGAACGACTTCCACCAGCGCCTGGGAGGTTCTGAACTCCTAGCCCAATATGGTCCACAGTCTGCTTCAGTGGATAACGTTGTAGGACAACACAGCCACAGCCATTCATTTGCATATCATGCATATGCTTGGCTATTTTCATGTCACAGTGGCAGAGCTTAGGGGCTGCAGCAGAGACCATCTGGCCCACAATGCCTACAATTTTTACTATCTGGCTCTTTTCAGAACAATTTGCAGGCAGCCAGGTTATATGATGCTCTTCCTAGGAGACAGAAGCAAACCTACTTCCTAGACCAAGTACGGTCCTTGTATATAGCAAGTGTCATCATCCCAGCTCCCCAAATTCTTTTCAAGCGTAATAAACACATAAATGAACATAAAATGGTTTGTCAGAAGCCCATGGCAAACTCTGACTATACACTTAGGAGAAAAGGCCCGACTAGAAGAGATGGTCCACAGGGACCTGGGATGCCAGCCCAGAGGGCTTGTACTACAGGAAGGCCCAGCCATCAGAGATGAAGGGGGCAGGGCAAGAGAGAGGTCCACCAAACACATATTCCCATGAAACTTGCTTCTCTCAAATTCAGTATAAATACATCAGTGACTTTCACAGGGTCAACGGCACAATGACGTATGTCAGCACAAGTCAGTAAGGCTGAGCAACAGCACAGTTCGGGTACCATCCACACATGGGCCAGCTTAATCCAGGAACAGACTCAGAGTGGGCAGGTGCCAGGCACATACGCAGTCTTTCCCTGCCCTCCTTCCTCAGCCTTGGCTGATGGGGCTAATGATCTTGTGTTTTCTTCTGCTGAGACACAAGTATCCTCAGCAAATTATTAGCACTTATTTTGCAAGATAAAAGGAGAGGCCATCTTTACTAGATGACAATTTCTTCTGAACTCTGCTGACTAGAGTGTGAGGTTGAGGATGTATGGTGTGCCACCTTCCTATGGTTCAGCCACTGCGCTTTGTCTACAGGTAGCCATCTCCTTCAGAGGTAGTCCATGGGAAGGACCAGGTTGCCAGGCCCCTGTGACTAAAAGACAGCTGCCTGGAGAAAAGAGCACGTTGATGACTTCAAGCATGACTTGGAGTCACTTCAGGAAACATGCCTCGGACCCGGCATACTACACAGGCCAATGGTGGGTCAGGGCCTTGGGGACACCATAGCCACGCTGAAGGTATTAAAACCCAATGCCCATATGGTCTCTTCAAAGAAAGAAAACTCCAGATGCCATCAGCTAAACCCACTGCCTTGTCACACATCTCCAAAGAACTCGGTACGACAAGTGCCCCAAAATAAAGACAAACACTATAAAAGGTGACCTATAAGAAACTATGATTCAGCTCATTGCTAGAAGGAGATAGAAGAATATGCTGTGGCCTTTCCATTTCCACTCCTTTCTTATGGTTGAAATGTTGTCATGCACTGATTGTGTTTCCAGTGGGACAGAAATTTAGGTTTATCTAAAGAAGGCTTTAATATGCAAATTGAGCCAGGTGGTGGTAGTGGCTCACACCTTTAATCCCATCACCTCCCAGGCAGAGGCAGTTGGATCTCTGTGAGTTTGAGGCCAGCCAGGGCTACACAAACAAACCTTGTCTCAAAAAAAAAAAAAAAAAAAGAAAAAAAAAAAGAAAGAAAGAAAGAAAGAAAAAGAAAAAGAAAGAAAGAAAATGCAAACTGAAGAAAACTGAAGAGAATTACTCTAGAAATTACTAGCTAATTAAGACCTGACTCCTCCCTGTTATCAAAGATCAAGAAAGCCAGAACCTTATCTGCCCAGTGATCCAAAAGGTCTTTCCACAGGGTGTCCAGAAGCAAGCACAAAACTAACAAGTAAAATGTCTACAGCTTCTCCTCTTGTGGGTGTGAGGTTGTCTTCCAGAGAAATGAATACAGGTAAGTAAAACTTACCCATACGTGACAGCAGAGATCATATGGGAAACAAATATGGCAGAGCCCCTGAATGCTTTCTCCATCCTATTTCAAGCACAGGAAGCATGCACAGGCCCAGCCCCAGGTGCTTCGAGCCCCAAGAGCAGAGGCTGAGTGGATGGGAAAACCCTACAGCCTTGGAGGAAGCTGCAACCTAAGAGGCCATAGTCCTTTAATGTCACCCACTTAGGGGACAGTGTGTCAGCTCCATCCTGTTTCAAAAGAGCAAACACTACCAAGTCTTGCCACCTAATGTTCCAGTACTAAAGCTTGACAGTTCAAATCCAGACCACCTACGGTCACATCAAAAGGATGTTAAAAATGTGGATTTTGTATGACCTCAAAGTAGAGGAAAAGAAGAAAAGATCTCAAGGAGTCCAGGATAGCATAGTTCATCTCAAGTGCAGTCCACATAGAATTGTTCTTCAGTATGCACTGCTAGATCCAGGACTGGGGTACCCAACGGTGCATTCTGAAGTGCACAGAAACTTCCTGAGAAATCAGCAGCCCGCATGTCAGCTTGAGCTGATTCCCACATCTCCAAATCATTACACAAACTTCCATTCTCCTTGATGCGGGCACTGAGCCCAAGCTGGAAGCCTTTTTGTAACCTCAAAGGCTTCAAAGTGTATGTGTCTCAAGTGCCACCACCCCAACAATGAGTCCAGAATCTCGCAGGCAGCAATACTGGGCTGATTTTCATAGCGACTGGTCATGACAGTTCCTACTTACGTAATGCATATAAGGTGAGGATGATTCCGGCCAGGCAAAATCCTTCAAAGAACCTGAGTGTGCTGAACATCGTCACATTCACTGACAGTGCCACAGTCAGTCCAAAGATCAGGATGAAGATGATGGAAAACAGCAGCACAGGCCGCCGACCAACCCTGCGTGGAAGAGGGGAGAAGTCAGGCATCCATGTTAAACAAGAGAGCAGTGCTCAGTGCTGAAATCCAGCATCCGGTGAGCACTCAGTACATGTTGAAGGAGTCAGCACTAAGTGTCTTCATACTACCTATACCCACTTCCTAGATCACGGCTTACTCCCTTGGGATACAGGCCTCTTGTAGGACATTAAGCCCCATCCTCTCTGGAACTGAGAGGGCATTGCTCAAACAGCTACTAGGAGGGAGAATTATGATGTGGCCCTGATTGCTGCTGCTGAGTCTATCTCTGTGTATAAACAGGGACAACTCAAGGCAAGAGAACAAAATCAATAATAATTCCCCAAACACAAACCTTGACACACCCAGCATAAAATGTCTTGAAAAACTGTTGACCTTTGGAACTGGCCCAAAAGTCAACACAGACATGGAGGGAAGGCTTTACTTCTATTCTCCAGTTGTTACCTTGGTGGGGGGAGGGGTATCTTGTTTCATAGGCAGCCTATAGGTCCAGGGTTGGGCCAGCTGCAATTTGCTTCAGCTACATGACAACATGTAATTCTAAAGGGACCAGAGGGATCACACATTAAGCCTAGACACTTTGGACTGTAAATAAATGCTCTGATGTCTTAAAGTAGAACCTGCAGGAAAGGGCAGTGGCATACTGAGTCCACAAACCACACACAGAGCTGAGCTGATCGCTGCATGATCAGTGGCCACTATGGGACAATGTACTTGGGGGCAATCAGAGGGCAGATGGGGTAGTTCATGGACCCTGAAAAACCATGAGTTCCCTTGTCCCCGTACTAACCATTCACCTCTCTCTACTTATTACAAGTAAAACTATGGCAACAGAGCTGCAGGAAACAAATTAATATTTAACACAACTGGCTTGGACTAGAAGGATAGTTCACAGAGAAGGTGGGGGAGAGGGAAGGAAGAAAATGCAGGCCTGGTGCCCTCAACACCACGCAGGGTAGCCAAACGGCATTGGCTGTCCTGGACATTTATGACAAGTAAAAAGGGGAGAAAAAAGAGCCAAAGAAACAGACAGCAGAACGGTGGCTGCCTGGGGCTGGGTGAGAATAGAGAATGTTTACGAGCATATTTCACAGTCTCTTCAAGGACCATGGAAGTGACTTAAACTCAGAATGGGCAAAGGACCGAAGTAACTCTGTAAACACATTCAAAATCATTGAATTGGGCATGTTAAAAGGCAGGTTTATATATGTGCAAATGCTTTCCCACTTAAAGCTCATTTTAAAGATTAAAGTGCTGTTGCAAGGCCTACTCCATCTTCTATAATTTTAATTTATATAAACTTAAATTTATATATACTTAAAATATAACATAATATGTAAAAATATAAAAATATATAACACAGTAATATATAATAGTTTTAAATATAAAATGTAAATATATAAAATATAACATTTACATATATGTATATTTATACTATAAATACAAAGTGCTTTCTCAGGGTCTACCCATTTCTTTTTGATTTGAGGATACGCAGCCAAGGCTATGAGTTTATAACAATGAAAAGCCTTTGTGTTTGCGCTGGGGTCACAAAGCCCTCCCAGGAAAGATCTTACCAGACGCCTTTGTCTGTACCCAATTCATTTGCAGAAGTATATTCAAAGCATGGCTCACTTGTCCACTTAAAAGGGAGGAGAGTATACAAATCTCTAATATCTATTTTTAATTCGCGGTACCTACCTCACCCTTGAATGGGGATATGGGTTCTGTTTTACTTCTTAGAGGGGCATGATGAGCCTGGCCTGAATCCCCAAGCTAAACATTTCAACTTTCCGCCTTTCTGCACTTCCTGCTGTTGCTTGATATTGTCTTCCTATGTAGCCCAGTCTGGCTAACCTAGAACCCTCTATGTAGCCCAGGTTGGACTGAAACTGGCAATCCTCCTACCTCCAACCTCCCCAAGTCTTCCGATCTCAGGTGTATGCAGCCATGTCTACTTCTTCCTGATGTTCCAACCTGTGTTTTCCTGTTTTGATTTTGTCTTAGAAATGATGCTTGATTTTTTTAATTTTCAATCTTGTAAAACATATTCTACGTACTTCCCTTTAAAATGGTTACTTAAATCAGTAAACCACACCTATCAATCCTTAGGGGCTGTGGGGGCACGAGTAGCCTCTGAAGTCAGAACAAACACCTTGGTTTTGCATCCAGGCTGGTAGTACATCATTCCTGAGCTGTGATCTTGGGAAAGTCCATACTTTCTCCACTGGTGTCTTCTAGGGAGTTTGTATAGAAATGC